TCTTTTCTATTTTATTTATACATTTAAAAATCAAAATCCATAAATTTTTTATTAGATTAAAAGAGATTTCATTAAAGCTTAAAAATTTATAAGTAATAAAGAATTGGAATTTTGAGTGAAAAGAAGGAGATATACAATAATATTTCTCTCCCTGAAAATTAAGTCACAGTAGTTATTTCCCTATAGATTGGGAATGTCAGTTCTCATTTCCCGTTTTCATTATTAGAGCACAAATGATTTTAGCTCTTCTTTCGTTCTAATTACATTTCTATTCGTTGTGTGAATTTCAGAGGTTGTGTAAAATGTAAACAATTCATTATTTTGAATGCAGTTGGCTCGGGATGCTTCTAGTGCCGGTGCATTTGGACGAGCAATTTTTTGAATAATTTATTGAGCTAGGAATTTTGTCTTTATTTCTTTGGGGAGTTGCAAATTAAAGAAATGGGAATTGATTATTGGTGTTTCGAAGTTATTCATTCAAAATTGATAACATTATGAACACTTTTTTAGGTTTGATTATATTTTTCCTGATTGTTGAGCTTGCAGCTTAGGATTCAACTTTCATTTTGAGAGGTATAGTTGAAATTATCTCAATATCTTTTATCTATATATACTTTGTAGGATTGTAATCAGATATTATTAGTTCTTTGCTTCAAGTCTCATTATTTAAGTGTAAGGAAAGTTTCTAAACCTTTTAGTCTGCTTTTGAGTTTCTATTCCTAAGATATGTTCCTAAGTTATGATTTTCTTTTGGATTTTATCCATTTATTTATATTTTCCGATCTCTTTAACAGAAAAGAAATTAGTTAGCATTTTGTTGTAAATAACAACTTGTAGAACCGAATACATTTATCTTTTTTTTTTTTTCTAATTGCTTATTGATTTTGAATTCTCTGGTGAACCTTTGATGGTGTATTCTCCGATGAATCTTTGATAATGAGAATCATCTATCATGACTGCGGCACTGGATGTAGGGTATATATGCTGAACCACTTTAAAATTCCCGTGTCTTTTTCTCATCTTTAATCTCTGCATTTTTATTGAGTTGTTCATCCATATTCTTCTCTTATAATGGTTTTGTAGTTTCATGTGTAATTTTTGCTAATTTGAAGAAGACGAGAAAATTTGGTGAACATTTTGATTTGTCATGCATATAGTATGGAGTCTAGTTGGACAATTGTGTGGTTTAAAGTTTAGTTTGATAATTGTGTGGTTATCCTACAGCAAAGATAGCCAATTAAGACTTAGTGTTTATATTTGTGTCATGCATATAGTTTAAAATCTAGTTGGATAATTGTGTGGCTGTCCTGTAGCAAAGATAGCCAATTAAGACTTAGTTTTTATATGTGTCATACATATACATATAGTATAAAGTCTAGTTGGATAATTATGTGGTTTAAAGTTTAGTTGGATAATTATGTGGCTATCTTGCAGCAAAGATAGCCAATCAAGACTTCATTTTTATATGTGTCATACATATAGTATAAAATCTAGTTGGATAATTGTGTGGTTTAATGTTTAGTTGGATAATTGTGTGGCTATCCTACAACAAAGATAGCCAATTAAGACTTAATGTTTATATTTGTATCATGCATATAGTTTAAAGTCTAATTGGACAATTGTCTGGCTATCCTTAGCAAAGATAAACAATTAAGACTTAGTTTTTATATTTGTGTCATGCATATAGTTTAAAATCTAGTTGGATAATCTGTGACTATCCTGTAGCAAAGGTAGTCAATTAAGATTTGAATAAGTAGATTGTTTTTCCTTGTTATTGTTCAACATCTGTGAAGTTCATAAATCAGTAGATTGCTTCTTTGTTTTTGTGAAAGAAGGGTTCTGTGTGAGTGATTTGAGGGAAAGAAAAAGATCTTAGGTGCTTATTGTGATTGTTAGCTCTTTGCTGAGGCACTAAATAAAGGCTATGAAAGTGTGTTAATTATAGAAATAAGGTTTGCTTATCATCTGTTTATATTTTGTAATTGTTAAAACTGATTACATAGTGGATAACCTAAAATAGATGTAGATCCTTTATGGATTGAACCAAAAATTTGTGTCTATGATATCCAAAAATTTGTTCTCAAGTTATTGTTGGCTTATTTGGTATATCCAAATTTACACTTGGCTTTTAAGAGAATTTACACTTTGTTTATTTGGTTAACTTGTTCTCAAGTTATTGTTGGTTTACTTGGCAAACCACGCAACAAACTACATATTTTTCTGCTTAACATAAGTTGTGTGACTACCTATTTCACTAATATAATGCATGTTGGAGTTAGAAAGCAAATATGAGAGTTAATATTATTTCTTAATTGTTCGTTTTATTTTTTTTGAAGAAATAGCTTGTGGGAGCAACATTTTGAGAAAGGAGAATGTATAGGGAAGAATTTCGGCATAGTTTCGACATGTATGAGGTTGATGTAATGTGAATATAATTCGTTAGGTTAGTCTGAAACATATGTTTCATTCTCTTATTGTAGTTGTAGTATAGTATTTCTATAAAATATCATAATATACAAATTTGATCATACTTATTTTGTATATGTATATGAAAACTTTGATCCTATGATATGCAACTTTGTTACATTTTATAATTTACAGATATAGAGAATTTCTTTGAATGTGACCATCATGAAATTGACATATATAAACTTTTCTTAACATTAAAAACCTTTATTGAACACAAATTGTTACAAAAAAAAAACTGTCACAATTAAATAATTGTCATATATCAGATTTTCGTGATAGTTGAAATTATCAATATAAAGGTATTCATGTCAATTAAATATTGTTAATATAAAGATTTTCATGACAGTTAAAACTGTTAATATTGACCGTTAAAACTATCACTATAAATATTTTCATGACAGTTAAAAATAGTAATTGTTACATTTTCTTGACGTTTATAAATAGTCGTTAAAAATATTTTATGTCAATTTTAAATTGTGGTAGATTGAAGATATTCAAGAATAATAATTTTAAAACGCAATTTTAGAGGATAATGCGGACTTCACCAAATTGGGAAGAGTAACGGATAAATACAGACACAATTATTATGGCGGGAAGCTTCAATTTGAGAATTATGAATTTTTAGAATATTTTGTAAATAAAGAATATAATCAAAGTAGGAAACATAATCCTCAATTGATTAGTAAMTCTTTTATTTTATTTTCTTTTAAAAAGGATATTTCCCAATTAGTTAGGAATTCCTTATTAGAGATAATTCCTCTTTAAAAGAGGATAACGTTAATCTCTATAAATAAAGAAGCCTTATTGGGAGACTCATCATCCAAGTTTCAACGAAAAGCTCTCTTCTCCAAAATTCAGTTCTCTCCCTCTATCATGAGTGGCTAGGCTTTAATTCTTCCAACTCAAGGGTGATTCAAGTCCGATTGTAAGCTTGGGAGGCTCAAGTTAGATAGAGATTTCTTCTTTTTCAAGTATTCTTTGTTTCTTGTTCTTTTTTTTTTTTTTGAAACATTGTTTCTTGTTCTTATTATTTATGAACAGTTTAAATTAATAAAATTGACGCCTTAATTCATATTAATTGTTCTACTGCTATCCATGAGTTTGTGATCCGTAATTGTCATAAATGATTTAAATAAGTAGCAAGGGGTTGGCTTACAAGATTTAATTTTGATGCTTGGTCTAAATTAATTAAATTAGGAGAATTAAAACTTACCACGACTGTTCTAGGTAGACTAAGTTCTTGAATCAAGATACCAATTTTGTGTAAAGCCTATGATCAAGATTACAATTGGATGAAAATCACACCTTTGGATTGGAAGTTTGGTAGGATTGACTTTCATTTTTCTTTTAGTTTATCTTTTTAAATTTAAAAATTTAATTACAAAACCCCCCATTTTTTAACTTTGAGAAAGTAATTTCATTGGTTCCTTAGGATTTGACCTGGTCTTGCTACTTCTACAAGTTAAATTTAGTAAAATAGTAATTATTTTGAAGGACTTCGACAACCCTTGCCTAATTGCTAATTTATGAAACAAAAAAACTTGAAACTTTGAAGTTATGAAAAGTAGGGAGAGAGAGAGGGTGTTACCTGCCCAATATTTATAATATAGTTTTTAGCATAATTTAAAATGTTTAATCGTAAAAAATTAAAATAAAAGGAGGTAAAATATGAAAGATCTCTCAAAGTAAAAATAAACAAATTTAAAAGATTAGTCCATTAAAATTAAAAAAATTTTATGGGGCTAATTGATTATGAATTTTTAAAAAAGATTATTTAATTGAAGGTTTTTTTTTCAGGGGTTGTATATTATTTGATAATAATATTATAGGAGAAATATGAGGTCATCTAAAATTGAGGACTTTAAATCACCACTGTTGTCATTTTTTTATTTTTTGTTTTAGTAAAACATGTGGAGAGACCGAACTCACAACTTGTTGTTGGAGATGTATGTCAATTATTAACAATTTAACCACAATCATTTACACTTTACTAATAGCCCTTATAAATGATATGCTTTGATTTATTTATACTTTCTTCCACTGAAAGTTAGGAAATTCGAATACCTACTTCACATATATTTGGTTGTATTCGAAAAAATGCAAAAGAAAAAAAGAAGAAAAATCTAATTTACACCTCCGATTTGAGATTATTTCGAAAAATTGTGATCCCTCCATTCATATTATAAGGTTACAGTTATATTCATTCAAATTTAAAATTTTTTTGCTGATTTCGAAGATAACCATCGTGTTTAAATTAAAAATCCAATAATTAAATTTTTTCAACAAAAGATTAGTTAGGAAAAGATTAAAAGAAAAAAATAATAAAAAAATCCCATCTAATCTATATATATTTGGGGAAAAAATTCGTATTAATTATTTTCTATATCGTTACACCCAAAATTTATTAAAATTCAACTTTATGAGTTCATGAATATGGTTTGTAGAGAACAAAAGGAAAACCCTATTGTTTGGATTCTGTTTGTTTCTCGGGAAAATCAAACTAATTTTGTTTGTGAAATTGAAAAGTGGAGATGAGAATTGGAAAGTCAAAAGGTTGGCTTAGAATTGCAATGGTGGGTTTGTTGGTTTCAGTCTCAGCAGAGGCTGTGTTTGGGTTTAGGTTTGTGATTGACAAAGAAGAGTGCTTCTCTCACAATGTTGAATTCACTAGAGATACCATCCATCTATCCTTTGTTGTTGTTAGTGTTCATGCTTCTTGGCGTCACGCTCACAATGGTGTCGATCTTTCGGTCGGTAACCCACATCTATCTCTTGTTCTTGATCTCGATCTCGTATTCGTTAAAGATTCATATTTTGTTGATATTCATGATTGTTTGACGTGTGGGTTAGTGTTATTTGAGTTAATTAAGAAATTGTGCTGTGTTTATGCCCCCTTATCTCAGATTAGGGTTTGTTAACCTTGAAATCATACCAACTCATTAGGGTAGAATCTCGAAAACCAAATAGAGGATTCACAAACTTAGATTTTTACTGCATATTCGTTTGTAGAATTATAGAAGTTTCAAGCTTTTAAGATGTTTTGACTTGGATTTTATAGGTTAGATTGATATAACTCGAGATCAAGAAGTCAATCGAGCTCATGTGTGGAATATGAATTTGGTTTATTCTTGGCATATGCGTTTGCTTTCGTACGAAGAATGATATCAAAGTCTCACAGGCCAGTTACAAAGACCCTAAATTTTTATAACTTGGTTTTTGCTGCTTTTGAGCCTCTTTCTTATTGTTAGTAATATAGGGCGCTCGAGGGAGCTCCTACCCCAGACAGACTTCGGCCATACTCGAGATTTCGTAAATTAAAATTCATTAAAATCGTGACGATTTATGTTATTGTTGTTTTGTATTTGCAAAAATTGACAGGTGAAGGGACCCAAAGGGGAGGGGATAGAAGAACATAAAGGGAAGACAAGTGAGAAGTTTAAGTTTGTTGCTCATTTTAAAGGCCCATATCGCTTCTGCTTCACCAACAAATCTCCTCACCATGAGACCATTGACTTTGATATTCACATCACTCGTTATTTTGAACCCTATGATCATGATCAACATGTTCAAAATGGTATTCATTTTTAAAACCCCTAAACTTTTTTTATTTTTTAATTTTATTTTCAACCTTTCTAACTCGCTATCAACTTGTTGAAATTCTTTTTACGGGCGTTGATTCTCTAGACTATGTCGAGTGGTTTTAATTACCTGTTTTTGTATGATTTTGTGGTTGAGGTTATTAGGTATTTTTGTAGTTGCACTTTGGTATTTCTTAATGATTTGATTTCAAGAAGTTATTGTTGATTGAACGTATTGTGATTATCTTATTAGTTTACGTGAAGTTTTCTAATTTGAGTTTTGGACAAATAATGATTTCACCTAAACTTGATGAAATAAAAAAGTTATAAGTTTGAAGTATCGTTTATCTAAATATATATGGATTTCTCACGCTTCCATAAATAATATTTTCAGAGCACTTAAGCCCTTTGATGGACCAAATAGAGAAGTTAAGAGAAGCACTAGACATTGTTGAGTTTGAGCAACAATGGTTGGAGGCACAGACAGAGCGACAAGTCAAAGGTATCGACATAAAACAACTTTTGACCTCTTTTTCTAAATGTATTTTTGTATTCTTATTTCAAATCTGACATGACAAGTGTTGAGTTTGACAACTTAGACTAGTGTATTGTGTAACGTCGAGTTAGGAAACTGAGTTTATGCTTAATATGTTAGGTTCGAAAAATCATGGCTACGGGTTTGTTAATCACATAAGCTTTATAAACYCATTTGATAAAAATTTAAAGAGAAACTCGTGTTTCACTATGAATTTCTATGTATTAATTCACATACAAACTATACAAACCTAAACCTTTTTTATTGAACCATTATAGCACCCATCATAAGAATATTCCATCATTTATCCATTTCATCCGGTGGTCATGCTAGAGACATAAACTATCAAACCGATTTCTTGATTCAATATGAACTCAAAGAAATAAATACGGCTCCAAATAACAAGAGAAACACAAGTCTAATTACGCCTATTCCTAATCTAAAATAAAATTGTTGAACGTAAGCATCCATTTGTCAACTAGTATCTATTTAAATACAATCGCTATCAACATATTTTCTTAAAAAAAAGAAACCTCTCTGACCAATAAAAAGTAGTTGGTGTCCAATAACAGCCAATCGTAGGCTTCTTAAACTCGAACTTACCTCTTTTGCTTTATGCAGCTGATTTTGTCCCTCTTTGTCTTGATTGATAATATCTGTTAGAACGAGTTTTGAATAACTTGGTGAAATACTTGAGGCAGTGAATGAAGCAATGAGCAGGTGGGCAATTCTGAAGGCGCTTCTCGAATCAGCAGCGCTCATTGGTGCGAGCGGTCTTCAAGTTTGCCTCTTATGCCGCCTATTTGAGAAGAGGGTCGGGGTCCTGCATTCGAACTCCTACACCATATAGTAATGTCCATCCCATATTCAAGTGTTGAAAACGGTTGAAGCGTTTTTCATCGGTTCTCGTGTTTTTCGAGACTAAAATTACTCATCATATTCATTTTACAAATCAAACTATTCATCCCCACAAAATTATGGTTGGATAATTACTTTCTGCACCTCTCATTTCTGTGTTGTATTTTTTAGTTCAATCATAAACAGATTCATCTGTTGAACAAATGGTCTAATTTGGCAATGCAGAACTTCAAACTGAGGCATCAACCAGAGAGGAAAAAGAGAGAGAAACCATTTCACAAGCAATAATAGAGATTCAATAACAGATGATATTACCAGCAAAAGGCTTTAAGAAGAAAAAAAACAAAAAAGAAGCAAAAACAACTGAGATAGCATAGCTCAGCACCTACTAACAATTCACCACACCACCACTACAAACGAAGCATGTCAAATTCTTTCACCTTTCTTTCCCCGGATTTATGAAGCAAATAGTAGCAGGCTGGCTGATCACAGCATTAAAAATCTCATCTTCTCTATCAAAAACCAGCAGAGATGATCACAGATTGCAGATCACTGATCAATACGGTTATCTACAGACGGGTAATACCATCAAGATTGCGTAGGTGGGCTCTGAATGCAGCAGAACCATTTCTTCTGGAACAGCAGAAAAAAAATCATCCACATGAGGTGAAGGAGTTACACTAACAGCTAGTAAAGAAATGGCGCCAATAGATCGGTCTATTTTTTCCAATTTTTACCATTGATAGTTTATTAAAACAAAGTTAAATTAAATTATTAGTTTGGTCCTTCAGCTTTTAAGATTGTGTCTATTTAGTCACTCCACTTTAAAAATTCTAAGAAACTTTTTAAAGTATAAGCACTATATAGAGATGACTTTAAAAGTCTAGAAACCTGTCACAAATACTTTAAATACTTTTATTAAAATAGACACAACCTTGGAAATTTGCAAATGGCAGAACAAATACGACTTGATCATCATTCCAAAGTCCAAAATTATCTTGTAAATCATAATTCAATGAAACATGAATGCATTTTGATACATAATTTTCAAGATCAAACAACCAGAAGAAAATAAGCATTTGTGCGAGGACAGGCAGTAAATAGCACAACGAACAGGTATATATCAGGGATGCAAAAGGGCAAAAAAAAGTGTTCATAACAACTTACAGACTGAGGTTTGCCAGAATCTGCTACACGTTTCCCCTGAGCGTTTTTAGGTGACGATTCTGATTGGCCACCGGTTTTCTTCTCATCTCTTGCTTTGTTAAAGATCACAGTGAAGCCCTCTGCTGAAGCAGGATTATTAACATCCCATTCTCCAAACTTCGGTAGTGGCTGACCCTTCTCCTGTTAAAATACATACATGAGTAAATAATATAAAATAAAGAAGTCGAAAAAATAAAGGTCAAAAAAGCAAGGTTGAGTTATAAATCTAGTCTTTATACGTCGAACGTATTGTCTATTTAGTTCAAATATACTTAGATAATGCATCTACCTAACCCCTACCGTTAACGGTTAATGGCATTAGTATGCCTATTAGCCTGTCCAACTGTTTACTACGTCACAACCAACTCATTCAATATTAATCTAATAGATATACTTAATAAGTTTTGCGATAATAATACAATGGCAAGGCCTAAACAAAAGCATAGTCACAAGTTCATGATGTAATTGAGAACTTTGAAGTTTAAGGATTAAGTTAAAGCTAAAAGTTCATAGACTAAATTTATAATTTAACCCAATAAAAATCTGTCAATCTACACTGAAGGATGAATATTAAAAGTTCATCTAATAACTATTTTAGTTTTTGTTTTTTGTTTTTGAAAAGCAAACTTATAAACACTAATTCCACCGATGTCTTTCTTTATTTTGTAATCTACTTTTAAAAACATTTTTAAAATCAAAAGTTTCAAAAAATTATTATAAAAAAAAAAAATTATACTTGTTTTATTTTTGAAATTTGGCTAAGAATCCAGATGTGTTTTTTAATAAATGTGAAAAACATATAAGATTGTCGTCCCTCAAAAATATATAGATCATGGATGTTGATGTGCTAACTGCTCTTTCATTGATGAACTAACAACAGGATATCATTAATAGCAGCAAATTAGACGAACAAAGCGCGAAATAGAAAAGATAAGAACATGATGGAAGAAACTAAAGATTTTTTTTTAACAGCTGACGTAAAATTCAAATATATCTTCAATCAATCAAAACTCTGCTAAATACTATATTTGGCCGATCAAGTGCGAGGTTAACCCACCAGACGATCTCGATTTGGTCACAATAAAAGAAAAATACTAAAGAGCGAACAATTAGAAAATATTTCTTAGAAATAAAACAAGAGCGAGACGTTAATTTGCATATTATCACAAAAATTACAAACAAATCCTTCGGATTTTAACGAAGAATCACAAAAAACGACGAGCATCACCAAATCTCCAAGAAAAGCGGGGCGACAAGAAAACACCAAACACTGTGAATCATAAAAAAAAGGGGGATCGTGTTCGAAACAACAAAAAGGAAAAATCAGCAAACGAATGAAAGCGAAACCCAATTCAGGCAAGTGAAATTGATGGGCAATTATAGAAAAAGCTAACAGCAACGGAAGCTGCAGATGAACAGCGAGTTAAATCGAATCAAAGAAAACGGAATCGGGATATAATGAAAGAGAAATCAAAATAAGAAATCAATTTGGGAAGAGAAAGAGGAATTACATACCGACATGAATTCGAAAGAGGAGAAGATTTGTTTGCCAGTGAACGAAGACTCGAAGAATGGAAGAAAAGCGATGGCCACAGCAGCAGAGCAGCGAGCAAAAGAGAGAGCGAGAGAAGAAGAGAGATTTGTGTATTTGTTGCCCCAAATCGTCCTTTTATTACACAACCGAGAGCCTTTTATTTCGCCTTTTTCTTTTTAATTACAATAATAATACGCATTTATGTTGTAAAATTGAGGAACCAAACGAGGCAACGTCGAGAAAATAAAATAAACAAAATAATTCAAATAATAAAGAAAATTCAAAATGACATTTCCCACCAATTTTCAAACTTAATTTCCCACCAAATTTCTCATTAATTTCTCACAAATTCTCACCACTAATTGAGCACCACATTGACCTTATTTATAGACCATGGATAAGCATGTGGTGTGATTTACATGACACTAATAATGTCTAAGACACATAGGACATTATGATTTCAACACATGGTGCATGGATAATGGAACATATGAGGTTTATGAATAAAAGACACATAGAGGACATATGGAGCATGGATTTTGAGACACCTCAAAATTGGACACTAAGCAAGGGTTAGTGGACATCTATTTAATTAAAAATTCATAATATTCCCCCTTAGATGCCCATTGTATATATGAAATATGTCTCGTTAAAATCTTACTAGGGAAAAACCCAGTGGGAAAAAAATCTTAGTGAAGGAAAAAGAGTACATATTTCATATAATCTAATACCCCTCATGGAAACATCACTTGAGATCTTTGAGTCGTCGTATTCCAATGTCGCGCACCAATGTTTCAAAGGGTTTTGTAGGTAATGCCTTTGTGAATATATCTGCCAAGTTATCTTTCGAACAAATTTTTTGAACAGTGATAGTACCATTCTTTTCAATATCATGAGTATAGAAAAGTTTTGGTGAAATATGTTTTGTTCTATCTCCTTTAATATATCCTCCTTTGATTTGAGCTATACATGTTGTGTTATCTTCGTAAAATATCGTTGGAAGATTTTTACTAGATGATAGACCACATGTTTCACGAATGTGTTGAGTCATTGATCTTAACCATACACATTCTCGACTAGCTTCATGAATTGCAAGAATTTCAGCATGATTTGAGGAGGTGGCTGTTATGGTTTGTTTTACTGATCGCCATGATATAGCAGTTCCTCCACATGTGAACAAATAACCGGTTTGAGATCTAGCTTTATGTGGATCAGATAAATATCCAGAATCTACATATCCAACTAGATCAAAATTTGATTTGTTTGAATAAAACAAACTCATATCAGTCGTTCCTCGAAGATAGCGAAATATATGCTTAATCTCATTCCAATGTCTTTTTGTAGGATAAGCACTATATCTAGCTAATAAATTAACTGAAAATGCTATATCTGGTCTTGTGTTATTAGCCAGATACATAAGCGCACCAATTGCACTAAGATATGGTACTTCAGGACCAAGAAGCTCTTCATTATCTTCTCGAGGTCTAAATATATCTTTTTTCACATCAAGTGAGCGAACTTCCATTGGAATATTTAATGGGTGCGCTTTATCCATATAAAATCTTTTCAAAATTTTCTGTATAAGTTGACTGATGTACAAATATCCCATCTGCTAAATGCTTAATTTGTAGGCCAAGACAAAATTTTGTTTTTCCGAGATCTTTCATCTCGAATTCTTTCTTAAGATACTCTGTTGCCTTTGAAAGTTCTTCAGGAGTTCCAATTAGATTCAAATCATCAACATATACAGTTATAATAGCAAATCCCGACTGTGATTTCTTTATAAAAACACAAGGACATATTGGATTATTCTTATATCCTTCTTCCAACAAATATCCACTTAGACGATTGTACCACATCCGTCCTGATTGTTTTAATCCATATAATGATCTCTGTAACTTTATGGAATACAATTCCCGAGCATTAGAATTGGGTACTTTAAATCCTTCAGGAATTTTTATATAAATATCATTATCAAGAGATCCATATAAATATGCAGTGACTACATCCATAAGATGCATGTCAAGACTTTCAAACACAGTCATGCCAATTAAATATCTCAGTGTAATCGCATCCACCACAGGAGAATATATCTCCTCATAATCAATACCGGGTCTTTGTGAAAACCTTGTGCAACCAATCTTGCCTTATATCATGTGATTTCATTGTTTTCATTTCTTTTCCTTACGAATACCCATTTGTATCCCACAGGCTTAACATTTTCCAGTGTTCGGACTACTGGTCCAAAAACTTGACGTTTTGAAAGTGAGTTAAGTTCTGCCTGGATTGCTTCTTTCCATTTAAGCCAATTTTTTCTCTATTGACATTCTTTCATAGATTTTGGTTCACAATCGTCACTTTCAGATAAAATGTCAATAGCAACATTATAAGCAAAAATATCATCAATAACTACATTAGTTCGGTTCCATCTTTTTCCAGTCATAACGTAATTCATTGAAATCTCATTATTATCTTCAGGTACTTGACTTTCCTCAATATCTTTATGAGTACTCATGTTTAGGATTTCTTCTGGAATATTCTCATTCTCAATTGTGTCATTTTGATTATTGACTATTTTTCTTTTCCGATGATTTTTATCTTTGGAACCCATTGGTCTACCACGCTTATGGCGTGTTGCAGATTCATTAATGACAATTTTCTGCATTGGGATGTCAATTTTTGATGGAACATTCGCAGCTGGTATATGTGACTTGGTCACTTTCTTGGCATCAATAAATGCATCTGGTAATTGATTTGCTATATTTTGCAAATGAATTATTTTCTGAACTTCAAGTTCACATTGATCTGTACGGGGATCGAAATGAGACAATAACGATGCATTCCATGTAATTTCTTTTTCCAACTTCATTATTYCTCCCCCTAATGTTGGAAAATTTGTCTCATTAAAATGACAATCAGCAAATCGTGCAGTAAATACATCACCCGTCAAGGGTTCAAGATATTTAATAATTGATGGGGAATCAAATCCAACAWATATTCCTARCCTCCTTTGAGGACCCATCTTAGTACGTTGTGGTGGAKCAATTGGAACATATACTGCACATCCAAAAATTCTYAGATGGGAAATATTTGGCTCKTGGCCATAAGCTAATTGTAACGGGGAATATTTATGATAAGATGTTGGTCTAATGCGTACGAGCGACACTGCATGTAAAATAGCATGTCCCCATACAGATGTAGGGAGCTTAGCTCTCATAAGTAATGGTCTAGCAATTAACTGCAATCGTTTTATGAATGATTCTGCTAAACCATTTTGTRTATGAACATRAGCTACARKATGTTCAACATTTATCCCAATTGCCATACAGTAATTATTAAATGATTRGGATGTAAATTCACCAGCATTATCAAGACRAATACTTTTAATTGTATAATCAGGAAATTGTGCTCGTAACTTTATTATTTGAGCAAGTAGTCTTGCAAATGCAAGGTTTCGACTTGATAATAAGCATACATGTGACCATCTACTTGATGCATTTATTAATACCATAAAATATCTGAAAGTACCGCTTGGTGGATTAATAGGTCCACATATATCACCATGAATTCGTTTTAAAAATGTAGGTGATTCAGTCCCTACTTTAAATGGTGATGGTCTAATGATCAATTTGCCTTGAGAGCAAGCATCACATGATAATTCATTAGATTGAAGAATCTTTTGGTTCTTTAATGGATGTCCATGTGAATTTTCAATGATTCATCTCATCATTATGGACCCAGGATGACCTAATCGGTCATGCCAAATGGTAAATATATCTGGATTTATGAACTTCAAGTTCGTAGTTGCATATGTTTCCATTACTCGTATATRAGTATAATATAATTCAGAAGATAAAACAGGCAACTTTTCAAGTATACGTTTGTTATGTGAGACAATAGATATAATATAGAGATATTCTATATTATTCTTGTTATCAGTCTCAATATGATAACCATTGCAACGTATATCTTTAAAACTCAGTAGATTTCTATTTGATTGACTAGAGAACAATGCATTGTCAATTGTAAATTTTGTTCCTCTAGGCAAAATTATGTCTGCTTTTCCAAAACCTTCAATCAAGTTTGCAGAACCTGATATAGTATTGACTTTTGCTTTCAGCATTGTCAATTTAGAAAAATATTGTCTACTTTTCAGTATTGTGTGCGTAGTCGCAYTGTCTGCCAGACATAGATCACCATTGCTCATTTTCGAGTCATCCAATATATGAAAAYTGTCCATGCTTCTTCATTAAACAAAATAATTACAATAAGAAGAAGGAAGAAGAAAAAAAACTTGAAATACAAAACATACATAAAAGATATAAAAAAAACATTAGTTCTAAATATTCTCAAAATCAAAAGAAGCACTTGTTATTTCATCTATTGTGCTCACTGTGCCAATTTGTTCTCCAGGAGATTCAAGAAAGTCAGCCATATCCAAACTTGTAATATTGACAGTGTCAAAGATATCACCATCCTGGTAGGCAAGATTTGCTTCCACATATTTTCCTTTTTCTTTCAAGGAAGCTTGATAAAAATTCACTAAGTGTTTCGATGTACGACAAATATGTGCCCAATGCCCAGTCATACCGCATCGGAAGCACTTATTTTCAACACTTCTGGAATTCTAATCTTATGGAGCTTTTTCTTTATGATCAACATTTCATGTGGTTCTTTTAAAATTTGGACGATTATAGCGCCCACCACGAAATGAAAAATTATTTCTTCCTCTGCCACGGTCACGCCCTCGACCACGACCTCGACCTCGACCACGATTATTGAAATTTACAGCATTCGCCTCTGGGAATGGTGTTGCTCCCGTTGGTCGAGATTCATGATTTTTCATCAATAGCTCATTATTTTGCTTAGCAACCAGAAGGCATGATATGAGCTCGGAATATTTCTTAAAACCTTTCTCTCGATATTGTTGTTGCAAGAGTATATTCGAGACATGGAAGGTTGAGTATGTCTTTTCTAGCATATCACTATCAGTAATTTTTTCTCCACATAACTTCAATTTCGAACTGATTTTGAATAGTGCAGAATTATAATCACTTACTGATTTGAAGTCTTGGAGCCTCAAATGCATCCATTCATAACGAGCTTTAGGAAGAATAACTGTTTTTTGATGATCATATCTTTCTTTCAAATTTTGCCACAAGGCAAGTAGGTCTTTTATTGTCAGATACTCCATTTTCAACCCCTCGTGAAGATGGTGACGAAGGAAAATCATGGCTTTTGCATTTTCCTGACTTGTGGTTGTATTTTCCTCTTTGATGGTTTCTCCCAGGTTCATGGCATCAAGATGGATTTCAGCATCTAGTACCCATGACAAATAATTATTGCCATTGATATCAAGAGCGACAAATTCTAATTTGGTCAAATTTGTCATGGTGACACTACCACAAAAAAAAAACTCAAATTAGGGATTTAACATATGAAAACAACATATTACTTGAAAAATAAAAATTAAATTACCTACCTTCAGAACCTACTTCAACAGGGGAAATGACAGAGGCTTGTGCTGATAACGTGTTGTAAAAATTGAGGAACGAAACGAGGCAACGTCGGGGAAATAAAATAAACAAAACAATTCAAATAATAAAGAAAATTCAAAATTCAAAATGACATTTCCCACCAATTTTCAAACTTGATGTCCCAYCAAATTTCTCATTAATTTCTCACAAATTCTCACCACTAATTTCTCACAAATTCTCACAAATTATCACCACTAATTTCTCACAAATTCTCACCACTAATTGAGCACCACATTGATCTTATTTATAGGTCATGGATAAGCATGTGGTGTGATTTACATGACACTAATAATGTCTAAAATTGAGACACATAGGGCATTATGATTTCAACACATGGTGCATGGATTTTGAGACACCTCAAAATTGGACACTAAGCAAGGGTTAGTGARCATCTATTTAATTAAAAATTCATAATAATTTAATCATTTTTCATAACATTATCATTTTTCGTAGCAAGTGGCAAAATTGGATGTCATGTTTGTAAATTTGTTATACAGAAAAATAATTTATAGTAATTATTTTTCGTCATATTTTACTAATATATTTTTTTTTTGTTTCATTGATATATTTAATACAAATATATTATTGATATAACTTCATTGGCGAGAAAATAAAATAAGAATATAAGAAGCATCTAGACTCTTTCATGCAAATCGACCTTCTATGCTCTTACAAATTAGTCATTGCAATTATAGGTTGGATGTCTAATTGTACTAGTGGTACGAGTTCTTACATTTGTGTCATTTGGGCAAAATATTATATTATGTGTAAATTTTGCAAATATTTAGGTTGCAACAAAAACATATCGCCCACTTCCTACAATCTGACTTGAAGGAAACGAAGAACGGGAACGAAAGAAATGAGGCGTTTCTAGCTCGAGTTTCGGATGAGCTTCTCCCAATTATGTCTGGTAATAGAATAGGGCGGCTTGCTCTGACCAAGACTCCACTTTTTGCTCCGTCCATGGAGCGTATGAATTTTTTGAAGTGTAGATAGACCAAAAGAGAGAATAAAGAGATAGGAATATGAATTATAGTATGACACCCCCATTTCTAAACAATGGTTGAAGGTTTTGAGCTTGTAGCTTTCTCCGTCCGCCCTTTGTCGGGTGGTGCTTGTGTGTGGAGTGTGCTACCATAAATCGGGCTTAAAGCTCTCGCCTTACCAACGAGCCGATAGTTGATGGTTGTTGGTCACGACCACTACCWACTCCAATGAAGATGAATATTTCACATAGAGGAGTATGCATCTTTATGTTGGGTGTTCTTCTATCGTGCGACCTGGTGGCTTATGTGCGACCTGTAGCCCACGCCTCAAATTTGTTCAGGGCGGGCAACGTGAATGATAACTTTCCAAAAGAGAGTTATTTGGGCAAGAATTTCACATAGTTTAGTAAAATATAGCCTAAATTTCACCTAATTTACGTTGAGTCTATGCATAGAATGTTACAAATTCATTTTCCTCAATTTTTACTAACAATGTTGGAAAATCTAATTTTGAGCATTTTGTTGCAGCATCAGTTGTGCTACAGCATTGGAATCACAAAGGAGCAGAAAACGACAAGCTGACAATGACAGAACTTTACACTGGGAGTTACCACAATAATTTGAAGAATCACTTGGAAGTGAGAGCTGAGGCCCACGAGATTTGTTTGTTGCCCTAAAAACAGAAAGGGGGTATAAATTCTCACATTTAAGGAAGCCTCCACACTCACTTTCACATACCTCAACCTCACTTCAAGTAAACCTCCCAAAAAGTTATTCAAAGAGTCAAGAGGAAAAGAAGAACACCCATTGAAGTGGCTGAGATAGAGAGCATACCAAACCCACTTGGAGCTGAAACTTTTAGCTTCATTCTCTTCATCCTTGATTCTATTTTGTATTGCATTTCTTCTTGTTATTTTCTTGTTTTCTTCTATGGCTACTCGTAGCTAAACCCATTTGTGAGGGGGAAATGTTGTAAACTCTTTTCTTTGATTGTAAACCATGTTATTAGTGTTAATGATGATGAATATTGAGTTGAAGTTGTTTTCATAGTTTATTTTTCAATATGTTTGATCAACATGTTGGGATACCTCCTTGTTAACTCTTGGAAAATTGTAATAGGGAGTGATAAGCTTCAAGTCATGCTAGAATCTACTTGAGTTAAATAGTGGGTACTTGGAAATAGGACTCACCTAGCACGGTTGTAAATTGTTCTTATATGCTGTTGAGTTTGTCTAAAACCCCTAATAGCAGAAAATCTAGGACGTCTAGGAAGACTCCGTGTCTGTTTAGCCAATATTTCAACATTGTTAATACTATAGCATCGTTTGTGTAGCCCAGAAAAGGTCACATTAAGCTTTCTCCCTTACCCGTTTAGAAAGCAGTGGTTAACCGTTGGATTTTATATTTTATTCCTATAATTGAGTTGATCTGGTTAAGTTTCAATTATTTGCATGTAGTGAGCGCAGTATAATTTATTTTATTGAATGCCCTTTTTATTTCATTTTTATTCGAAATATTGTGGTTTAAGTTTTCGCTTTCTTGAGCAATTGTTGAGGTGTTTGGTGAATAGTCCATATGGATTCGAACTTTTTATTACTTGCTACGACGATGGTGTACACTTGTACATAAGGGACACAAAATCGCTCAACAAGTTTTTGGCGCCGTTTCCGAGGACTAATTTTACTTTACACTTTATATTTTTGCTTGAGAAGATTTGTGCTAGAAGAATTTCTTTTAATTACTGTTTGGTGGATCTTGAAGGTGAATGCAAGATCTGCAAGGATTGAAATATCTGCTTGACAACGAGATTGAGCACACATTTCATCAGAGAAGAAGAGAACATCGTAGATAGCAGGTAGAAGCTAACCTAATGGATCAACTACCGAGACTCCCCAATCCAGTAGTTGAAGGAAATAATGAAGGAGAGGTGGTTGCACTAGTAGCTGCTCCCCCTTTTAACGTCATTCTGTTGGTAAATGATAGAGAAAGGGCTATCAGAGCCTATGTTGCGCCTGCACTCCATGGCTTTCATCCAGTTATAGCAGAGTCAGAAATAGAGGCTGAAAGGTTTGAGTTGAAACCTGTCATGTTCCAAATGCTCTAAACAGTGGGTCAGTTTTTTGGAAATCCGTCTGAAGATCCCCACTTGYACTTGAGGTATTTTCTAAAAGTGAGTGACTCTTTTAAGATGCAAGGAGTATCTAAGGAGGCATTGCGTTTGAAGTTGTTTCCCTATTCATTTAGGGACAGGGCAAGAAACTGGTTGAACTCTATGCCAGCTAAATCCATTACATCCTAGAATGATCTTGCTGAAAAGTTTTTAAAGAAGTATTTTCCCCCAAGCAAGAATGCCAAGTATCAAAGAGACATTAATAATTTCCAATAGAGGCGTGGAGAATCTGTGAGTGAGTCGTGGGAAATGTTTAAGGAACTGTGAAGAAGATGCCCCCACCACGGTTTGCGAAGGTTTATTCAGATAGATACCTTCTACAATGGACTAAATGAAGCAACACGAATGGTAGTTGATGCATCTAATAATGGGGCATTATTGTCCAAATCTTATGTAGAGGCAGTTGATATTTTGGAAAGGATCTCATCCAACAACTATCACTAGTCAGATTCAAAAGTAGTGAATGACAGGAACAGTCATGTGGCCAATGATAATAAGACGATGGCTGCACTGAAAGATCAGATTGCTAACTTGACCAACATGGTGAAGAACATGAATACTACTACAGCATCATCAACTAGCCCTAGAACTAGTAAGGTAATGGTCATTTCATGCTCTTACTGTGAGGGTGATCAACATTATGATTCCTCCCCAGGAAATCCAGCTTTTGTCTTCTATCTAGGAAACCCCAACAGAAACAACCCTTATTCAAACACTTACAATTCAAGATGGAGGCAACATCCAATTTCAGTTGGGGAGGAAATCAAGGGAACCAGATGTACCAGAACACCTCCCAATATCAGCAAAAGGTAGCTCAACAACCAGGACTTCTAATGCCTAATCAGCAGCAAGGAACAAGGCCAGCAGAAAATTCTTCCAATTCCATGGAAGCTCTTATGAGAGAGTACATGGCTAAAAACGATGCAATGATTCAAAGTCAAGCTGCTACTTTAAGAAATCTGGAAGTTCAAATGGGGTAGATGGCAAATGAGCTAAAGAACATACCTTAGGGCACCCTATCGAGTGACACTGACCTGACAAGCGAACTACATAACTGGTCATGACCCGATCCATGGCATGACCAGACTCTAGGGCATGACCGGATCCAAGGTATGACCAGGTCTTGGGCATCACCAAGTGTCGGTCGAGCAAGTCTCTACCGACCAGATCTCTTCTGCCGATCAGGTCTCATGTCGACCAAGTCTTTCCCGCCGACCAGGTCTCTTATGTCGACCAGGTGTCTTCCGCCTACCAAGTCTCTTCTACCGACTAGGTGGCTTCCACCGACCAGGTCTCTTCTACCGACCAGGCCTCTTCCGTCGGCCAGGTCTCTTCCGCAGACCAGGCCTCTTCCACTTACCAAACTCGATAACTACACGACAACAAAAGTTAGCAGCACACAGTAGCAGGAGCTACCTGGAAAGCTGACTAGGTCTCGAGAAATCGTGCTCGACAAGGAGAAGCCACTTAGTCGACACGAGCAGACAGAGAAAGCACAGGAGCTTAGTGAAAAATGAAAAGATAGAAGATGTGATCCTGAGAAGATAATAGACCAAGCAGATTCACTACTCGCGGAAGAGATAGTCCCTCTGGATTTCAAAATTCTCTACTATCAGACGGTACAACGACTTAATAGATTATATCGACCACCTAGACACGTACAGAGAATTGATGAACATCTACGGAGTGACAAAGGTTA